GCACGGCTGCGTTGAGGAAGAGGGGAAGTGGGCGCCAAGAGACAAACAGTGGGTGCTCAATAAATGCAGCGCTGCCCCACCCCCACCCCGCCCCTCAGGGTGAGTCATCCCTGTCCTGGCCCTTTGCCGAGGGTGGGGGGCGGGTAGGGCCATCGGGTGCCATCTGGCTCCACCCCGCCGGGCTAGGCGACCTCGCCAGGGCTCCGCTCCTCTCCGGGCCTCAGTTTCCCCCTGCTAAAGTTCAGGGGAGGGCTGGCGCAGGCCGGCTGGGGGCCGCGGGCACTCCCGCGCGGCCCCGGCCACGTCCGCTGCCCACGAGGCCGCCATAAAAGGCAAGCGGCCGCAGGTCGAGCAGCCAAACTTAGTCATCCGGCCCGCGGGCCGCCCGGCGCGCTGCGCGCAGCTTCCTCTCCGAACTTCCCGTTTTCCGAGGGGCCCGGGGAGGGGGCCGAGGTGCGGCCTGGTCTTTCGAAATGCCTGGGCTCCGAATGGCTGGGGGCTTGGCCCGGGGGCGTCCCAGCCTGGCGCTTTCATCCCGGAGCTGCGGGTCAGCGCGGCGCCTCCAGAAGACGCCTGCGAGGGAGGCCCAGGCTGCTGCCCGGATAAATCTCAGCCAGCTGCCCCGGGGGTGGGGAGAACAGTGCGGTGCGGCCATGAGCCCGTCGGTGCATCGCCAGAGCGTCTGGGCCGAAACCACCCAGCGAGCGTCGCGGGAGCAGGGCTGGGTCAAGGGATACGGGATGCAATTCAGTGCAACGTAAGGAACAGCTCGAGCTGCAGTCGCTGGTCCGTGCATGGACCTCGGCGGCCCCCTCATGCCGTCTGGGTCTCGGGTTCCATTTACAGGCAATCAGGACAGTGGCTGTCCAGAGGTGGGGGGCAGAGGCAGGAGGCTTCCTGGAATGGAAGTGTACCCTGGAGTGATTAGGGTGGTGGCCGTACGGCTGTACAGTCAGGATGGGGCTGTCCTATCAAGGTCGCTGACCTCCACTGTAGGTAAAGTATACCTCAATTCAGAACTGTGAAAAAAAAAAAAAAAAGAAAAAGAAATGCACACGCAGGGCACGCCCATACATTGGTTAGGGACGTCCACAAAGGTACGGGGAAGGAGTCCTTGCTGCCGCCTCGGGGTGGGTGGGAAGGAGAAACGTGGAACGCTGGGTGTCTTCTGATTCTGATATCCTGTATTTCTTTCAAAAAACAGAGCTGAAGAAAATACGGTGAAGTAATGCCTGGGTCCGGGAGTACATTATGTTCCTCTCTGTCCTTTCCTGTGTATTTGAAATATTTCACACTTTTCACGAAGAAAGAGCGACAGCACCGTGGCTGGGAATCGGGACACACGGTGGTCAACCTCTTTGACCCTCGGTTTCTTCTTCTGTACAATGGGGCCATCAATAATCCCTTTGGGGGAAAGCGTATTGGGTGTTAGCTGCCAAGAGCGAGCCCTAGGCATGCAGTAGGTGCTCAGCAAAGGGGTCTGTTTGGGGCTCCCCTTTTCCTAAGCCCACCTTCCCCCCAGCAGGCAGGACTTGCTAGGGTGAAGGGCCAGGGTGGGAAGAGCTTCACCTCACAGCTCCATTAGGCCAGTGGCCTAGCCTGGCCTGGCTGGGAAGGCTTGTGTTTCTGACAAATGGGGCCAGCCAGCCCCATGCCCTGCCTGTCCCATCCTGTCCTGACTGTCCTGTCCCCGGGGCCAGGGTCACTCTAGGTGAGGCTCAGGGCCAGTATACTAGCAGGACACAGGCCAGCAAGTCACCTGCCCTCGGATTCCAGGCGGCCGGATCCTCAGGAAGCCACTGGGGGTGGTGAGGGCCCACAGGGATGGTGGGTGCCAGCCAGTCAGCACTGTTAGGGACACAGAGCCCAGAGAGCCCCAGAGGTCTGTGGGCAACCACGGCCAGCAGGAAGGAAGGGAGGAGAGTGCAAGGTTAAGAAAGTACATCCAGGAAAGGAGAGGGAAGAGAAAAGAGAAAGCAAAAGCCTGCATTTCCTCTCACTACTTTTGACCATCTGTACATGGGCACCGCGCCCGGCTCTCTGGTGAAAGTCTCCCAGGACCCTGAGGGGGAACGGAGACCCCCTCAAAGCCAGCACGGTTAAATGACGACGAGGCCAAGGTGACCCAGCTAAGAAAGGCAGGGTCTGGGGGAGTGTGAGCAAGAGAGATTGACGGACGTGTGGCCAGGGGACAACAGGGCCCTTGCTAGGAGGTGTGCTGCAGCTCTAGGGAAGGGGAGGCCGAGGGAGTGGGGAAGGAGGGGTAGGGGACTGCGAGCAGTAAATGACAGCTGGCTGGGGCTGGTCTGAAGGCCGGACTGGCTGCAAGAGACGCCTCTCGGGTGCCCTCTAGTGGGGACATTCTCCTCCCTGGCGAGGCGGATCTGTGTGTCCGCATTCCATGCTTCAGGGAGTGACCGCCTTCTCCCCGTGTTACCCAGCCCATCATAGACACCCCCATCCAGAGCACCTCTTTTCTCAACGCTCCCTCACCTCCTCAGGCTCCGCCTCACTCCAGGCCTTGCTGGACAAGAAGAGGCCGTGGGAAAGCATCAGATAGCAAGAGGACCCAGCCATCACCCACCCACCAAAAAGTCTGGCTGCAGCCTCCCAGCAGCCCTCCCAGGGGAGACATCTCTCTCTCCTCCTTTTTTAGACAAAGGGAAAAAAAACCCTGAGGTCTAGAAGGTGCACAGGCACCCCCTTTCTCATGCACGTGGTCTCATGCACTGAGTCTGGACATCTGGGAGCTGTGGCCCCCCCCCCCCTTCCCCCGCCTGTGGGCAGAAGAAGGCCCTCCTCTGGTATCTGGGGACTCTAACCTTCCTGGCAGACTCTGTGACACCCTCGGCTGAAGGGACCCTCTCCAAGGCTCCACATCCCCAACCCCCTCTGCAGCCTTCTGCCTTAGAATGAGGGTCAGATTCCAACATGTCCCAGGTGCTTAGAAGTCCAGGTTGACCCTGGAGAAAATATACTCCAAATGAATGACAAATGCTGCTAATTTCCAATAGGAACCTAGGGGCTCGGAGTGGAGATGTTAGGCCCTCACAGCGGACTGTGACACTGCATTGGGCCAGATTTATGGGTTTGAGCGGCACCCTAGAGAGTCGGAATGTAAGGTGGAAAGGCCCCCGGCAGTTTGCTAGGTCTGTAGACTGAAGTTTCAACCAACCCATCAGTGGTCTGCATTCAGTGAGGCAGACTTTTGAGAACTTTCCCAGTGGGGTGGAAGTGGAAAGTCCAAAGAGAGTCACTTATCATGTGTTACCCACACGCCTTTAGAAATACGTCGGTAGGGGCACCTGGGTGGCTCAGTGGGTTAAGCAGCCGACCTCGGCTCAGGTCATGATCCCACGGTTCCTGGGTTCTAGCCCCGCATCACGCTCTGTGCTGACAGCTCAGAGCCTGGAGCCCACTTTCAATTCTGTGTCTCCCTCTCTGCCCCTCCCAAGCTCGCGCTCTGCCTCTGTCTCTGAAAAATGAATAAATGTTTAAAAAAAATATTTTTTTTAAAGAAATGTATTGGCGAAGCAGCGGCTTCATCCCTGTGTAGCTACCTTCTGTGGGCTGGCATCAGCCACTGACGTTCCACTGGGCTGGGCTCCTGATCTCAGGGGGCCGGCTGGGGCACCCCGACTGGCAGAGGCGGAGTGGGAACTCTTAAGCCTTACAGACCAGGTGGGTGGATCAGAGAGGAAGTGGTTTCCAGGAAGTACTGATCTGCGGTTTTGATGGAGGCTAACCGATCCTGACGTTCTTGGGAATGAAGGAGCCGGGTGCCACTGAAGTGCCCCTTGAGGGGGACCTGGGTGGCTCTGTCGCTCAAGCGTCTGACTCTTGATCTTGGTTCAGGTCATGATCTCACGGTTCGTGAGTTCAAGCCCCATGTGGGGCTCCGGGCTGACAGCACCAGTATGGAGTCTGCTTGGGATTCTCTCTTTCTCTCTCTCTCTGCACCCCGCCCCCTGGTCTCTCTCTCTCTCTCTCTCTCTCTCTCTCTCTCTCTCTCTCAAAATAAATAAATAAATAAATAAATAAATAAGTGTCACTTGACCGATATAGTGGGGAAACTTGAGGTCTGGTGGACAGAAACCTGACTGGAGTCCCCGTAGTCTAGAGTTTCTAGGCTTGAGATATGTTATTTGATGCATTAATAAAGGAATGCATATATTGGTTACTGTATGACACATTTGTTCTTTCAGCTTGTTGACAACTGTAATTAAATCACAAAGTTTCCTTCGGAATGCAAGCTGGTGCAGCCACTCTGGAAAACAGTATGGCGGGTCCTCAAAAAACTAAGAATAGAACTACCCTACGACCTAGCAATGGCACTGCTAGGCATTTATCCACGGGATACAGGTGTGCTCTTTCGAAGGGGCACATGCACCCCCATGTTTATGGCAGCACTATCGACAATAGCCAAAGTATGGAAAGAGCCCAAATGTCCATCGATGGGTGAACGGATAAAGATGTGGTCTATATATACAATGGAGTATTACTCGGCCATCAAAAAGAATGAAATCCTGCCATCTGCGACTATGTGGATGGAACTGGAGGCTATTCTGCTAAGTGAAATCAGTCAGAGAAAGACAAACATCCTATGACTTCACTCATATGAGGACTTTAAGAGACGAAACAGATAAGGGAAGGGAAACAAAAATAATATAAAAACAGGGAGGGGGGCAAAACAGAAGAGACTCATAAATATGGAGAACAAACAGAGGGTTGCTGGAGGGGTTGTGGGGGGGGGATGGGCTAAATGGGGAAGGGGCACGAAGGAATCTACTCCTGAAATCATTGTTGCACTAGATGCTAATCTGGATGTAAATTAAAAAAAATAAAAAATATATATAAATCACCTCAAAGAGAAAAAAAAAATCACAAAGTTTCCTTTGTAATTCTATGCATTTTACTTTGGGCACTGAAAAGTATTCTGCCCAAATGTCTATCTGTGATGAATGGATAAACAACAGTACAAGCAATGAAAGACAATTCCACTTCTATCTATTTATTTTTAAAGATTTTATTTTTAAGGTCATCTCTACACCCAGTGTAGGGCTAGAACCCGTAACCCCAAGATCAAGAGTCGCTTGCTCCACTGCCTGAACCCGCCGGGCGCCCCTATAATTCCAGTTTTAAAAGGACGAGAAGGAAACGTTCACTCTGCTACAACATGCATGAACCTTGAGCACATTACGCTGAGTGACTCAGCCAGACGCCAAAAAACAAATACTGTATGATTGCAGTTATACGAGGTATCTAAAGGAGTCATACTCAGAAACAGCACAAAGGTGGTTACCAGGGGCATTGGGGGGAAAGGGAATTTAACGCGTGGAGGCTTTCCGATTTGCAAGAGGCGAAAGTTCTGGGGTGCTGTCTCACAACGGAATTAATGTGCTTACTACTAAACTCTAAAGTTAAAATTGTTGGCGATGGGGAAGTTCTGTTACTTCGCCACAAATTTTAAAATGCAGGATGCAGTAAAAACACAAGTTAAAGTCTTCAACGTTTTGTGAACAGCGTATTTCTGAGAAGAGGACCGTGTGTATCCTTAGGTGCCACAGGCGACCGCAAGGTTCCCGGCACGGGAAAGGTTAAGAGCCCTGACGCCTCCTACTGGCCGAACCTAGCAGGAATTCCGGGGGCGACAAGGATTCTGGGAATTGTAGTTTTCAGAGCCCCAGCCAGAGCCTCGCTGTGAAAGGTGGGCTTGGAGCCGGGAGACAATAGCTCCAAGATGGGCATCTGGGCTGGCGGGGAATTCGTGGGGTGCGCGCTCAGCGCGCGCCTGTGCTCCCGCTACGCACCTGCAGCCTCGCGCTGAGGCACACACGGTCACGCAGACCGGGCGCGCGCACCTGTCACTTGCACCACGCAGCACGTGGCGCTCCCGGTTTGCAGTCTGCATCTTTTCCAATCTAACTGGCCACCCAAGCATCTGCGGGTCACGGTGGCAGGTGCCCCCTTGCTCCCATCTGACACATCCCCACTGGAGCAGAGGCCTTGGCAGTGACCGTGGGAAGAATGTACAGGTTACAGATGCGCAGGGAGGGGTGTGCCAGTGAGAGGACACAAGCCAGTGCAAAGGCCCTGAGGTAGCGGCTTGCACGGCCACCACGGTGGCTGGGGGAGAACGGCAGGGGATGAGGTGGGGTTGGCTTCGCTAGACACGAAGAGCCGTTTAGACAAGACGGTAGTCGGGTCTCCCAGGTGAGCGCTGGGCCGCTGCCTAGGTAATCGAATGGCACTGTTCCCCCTGGGGCTGCAGAGGCAGCCTCGGAAGCGACTCAGCGGAACTCCCGCGAGCTGGGGGGAGGGGGGGAGGGATGCTCCAAAGGGGCTGGGGAGGGGGCGTTGCCCTCGCAGAGGCCCCACCCCCAAACTCTCTAGGCCCTGGAAGCCCACGGTCTCAGTTCTCCACCCACCCGCGGCCCAGCCGGTTAGCGGTGGGAATACAGCCTGAGGACTGAGGGAAGAAATAGGGAGCTGGAAACGTGATCTGGGGAGGGGGGCGGGGGAGGCAATCAGGGAGGGGGGGCAAGACTCGTTCCCACCCTCCTGGAACCTCCATCCCAGAGCCTGGCCTCGGCTGTCGGTGGGGCAGACTGGAAGGAAATGGCGTGGGGTGGCGGCTGGCTCTATTTCCAATCCCGGGTGGCCTTTGGAAGGGGGCTGGGCGAACAGAGTCGGCTGGGTCTGGATTCCCTGCGTGACTCTGCTGGCTCAGGCTCTCTCAGAGACGAACTCTTCCTCTGCATAAAGGGAATTGTTCAATAAATAGGCCTTCAAGGATGATCATAAATTAGCTGGTGGCACACTGGGCGTGTGTGTGTGTGCGCGCGCGTGTGTATGTATGCACGCGCGCAACGCCCACACCCACCTAGGCTGGGGCAGGCTTGAGTGGATTAGGGCAGCGGCACCAATATTCCAAGAATTGAGCCTCAGTTTTCCAATGAATAAAATGGGTATAAGGACCCCCAAAACGAGGCTTGCTGGAGTTAGAGGCAAGCGACGCGATGTCGACCTAATTCACCTAATTACGGGCAAGACCACACTCTGGCACTTGCATCCAGGGACGGCTGGACTGAGAAGGCGAATAAATAAATGTTCTGCACGGCTCGGCTCCAAAGCTCCAATGTGCCCCCTTAGGGAAGCTGTCCACGACTACGAAGACAAAAGATACAGCCTGCTTCCTCCTAGGCGCGAGAGAGGAGAGGACCCCACCCAAGACTGCCGCCCTCAGGGACCCTGCGCTACCCCCACCTCCGGCTTGGGCTGCGGAGCTCCTGACGGCCGCCAGGTGGCGCTGCAGACGCTCCTGCTTCGCCAAGCTGGGCGGGGCTGGATTGTTCTGGAGTAGGGCCCCTCCGGAAGCCTCCCTCAGACCTCTGTAGAAGCCCTGTAGCCAAACAATAAAAAGCAAAAAAAGGACTGTGTTCAAAAAATGCAAAATAAGACTCAATACAGTACTTACATATTTATGTGGTCAAATTACAACTGAACTTGCTTCATCTGTCCTAGCCTGAGGCCCTGGGGCCCCAGTGTCCCCTGTTTTGGGGGTCCAGAGCAGGGGCCTGAGGACCTGCTCAGGGTTACAGGAAAGAGGACTAGATGGGGTGGTTCTCAGAGCAAGGAGGCTTAAGCCAGTCTTTAAAAGTGGGTAGAATTATTGTTGCACTATATGCTAACTAACTTGAATGTAGGTTAAAATAATAAATTAAATTAAAAAAAATTACGCATGCAAAAAACAAAAAGGCATATCTTAGAATGACCTTATAATCCAGAAATTCCACTTAGTTTTACATCCAAGATAAATAAACATGTGTGTATACATAAAAAAACAAAAAATAAAAGTGGGTAGAATTTGGGGGGCCTGGGTGGCTCAGTCTCTTAAGCGTCTGACTTCAGCTCAGGTCATGACCTTAAGGTCTGTGAGTTCCAGCCCCACATCGAGTTCCCTGCTGTCAGCACAGAGCAGGCTTCAGCTTCTGTCTCCCTCTGCCCCCCCCCAAATAAATAAAACATTAAAAAATATATATATATACACACATATACATGTGGGTATAAGTTGGGGGGGAGAGACACCGGACTGCAGGCTGGGAGGTGGACCTGGTCCCAACAAGTACGGAGCCCATCACCCAAGTAGGTGAGAGGGTGGATTCTGGAAAGCGTGTCGGCCAGCGATGCCCTTGCAAATCCGGGAACTCGGCCTGAACCTGCCTGCTAATGGTGGCTGGACATCCCCTAGCAGATGAGGTCAGCGAGCTGTGTCTGCTGGGAACTGGAACAGGAGTGACCTCCAAGCTCCATGGGTCAGAGTGGGCTGGGGGGGTACCTGGCCTGGGAGCAGTGATGGGGAGGGGGTGAGTATCCAGGGAGACCCAGGTCTTGACCCCCTTCCCGCCCAGCCCTGATCAAGGTCGGGGAGGAAGATAGGTGCCAGGAGATAGGTGTCAAAGGATAATTTCCAAAAAGCTAAATAGAGCTGGGGCGCGGGGCTGGGTCAGTCAGTGGAGCACACCTTTATCTCCGGGCCGTGCTTCCGGCCCCACAATCGGGGTGGAAGATTACACTAAAAAAATCTTTTTTTTTTTTAAATTTTTTTTTTTAACGTTTATTTATTTTTGAGACAGAGAGAGACAGAGCATGAACGGGGGAGGGGCAGATTGAGAGGGAGACACAGAATCCGGAGCAGGCTCCAGGCTCCGAGCCATCAGCCCAGAGCCCGACGCGGGGCTTGAACCCACGGACCGCGAGATCGTGACCTGAGTTGAAGTCGGACCCTCAACCGACTGAGCCACCCAAACGCCACTACATTAAAAAATCTTAAACAAACAAACAAAATCTTACTCAAAAAGGAGCTAAAATCATGACTCTCATACAATTAGACAAGGAGCACTCGTCAATGATGTAATTCAACTCATTAATTAATGAGGGGGCACTAACAGTAAAACTGAGCATCTGAGCAACTGTTTTTTCTCCCCTGCTCTCCTGAGAAACTGGCATTTATACAATTCATTTACTTTTATTTTTTTGTTTTAGAGAGAGAGAGAGAGTGCACGGGAGACGGACAGAGGGAGAATTTTTTTTTTTTTAATTTTTTTTTTTTTAACGTTTATTTATTTTTGAGACAGAGAGACAGAGCATGAACGGGGGAGGGGCAGATTGAGAGGGAGACACAGAATCGGAAACAGGCTCCAGGCTCTGAGCCATCAGCCCAGAGCCTGACGCGGGGCTCGAACTCACGGGCTGTGAGATCGTGACCTGAGCCGAAGTCGGACGCCTAGCCAACTGAGCCACCCAGGCGCCCCAGAATTTTTTTTTTAAGTTTACTTATTTTGAGAGAGAGAGCTAGAGGGTGCAAAGCAGAAACCAAGGAGGAGCAGAGAAAGAGAGAGAGAGGAAGACAGAGAATCCCAAGCAGGCTCCACACTCTCAGCACAGAGCCCTAGTTGGGGCTCGAACTCAGGAACTGTGAGGTCACGCCCTGAGCCAAAATCAAGAATCAGGTGCTTTAGGCACTCCAACAGAGAGTGAGAATCTTTTTTTTTTTTTTTTACTGTTTATTTATTTTTGAGAGACAGAGAGATAGAACATGAGTAGGAGAGGGGCAGAGAGAGAGGGAGACACAGAATCCAAAGCAGGTTCTGAGCTCTGAGTTGACAGACTGACAACAGTGAGCCCGATGTGGGGCTCGAACCCACAAACTGAGATTATGACCTGAGCCAAAGTCGGATGCTCAACCGACTGAGCCACCCAGGCGCCCCTGGAGAGGGAGAGAATGTTAAGCAGGCTCCATGCTCCGCACAGGGCCCCACATGAAGCTTGATCCCATGACCCTAGGATCCTGACCTGAGCCCAAACCTAGAGTCAGATGCTCAACCGGCTGAGCCACCTTATAAAATCCATTTTAAAATGTTGGGATAAGATTCCCAAATTCAATAGAAAACAAAACCTGACTAATGTCCTTTGGGGCAACGAAGGGTAACCCTTGAACGGCAAATAGCATACAATTTCACTTACAGGTGGAATCTAGAAAACAAACAGATGAACAAACGAGAAAACAAAGAGACTCTTAAATACACAGAACAAACTCTCGTGTTTACCAGAGGGGAGGTAGGCGGAAGGATGGGTAAAAGGGGATGAAGGGGATGAAGAGGTACAAGTTTCCAGGTATAAAATAAATGAGTCACAGAGATGAAAAGTACAGCATAGGGAGTTTAGTGGGTACTATTGGAACAACATTGTATGGTGACTATGCTTAGTCATGGGGAGGATGTTAGCCGTATTTCAATAACAAGTAAAATTTTTCAATTATTTTTGACAGAGAGAAAGAAAGAGAACAAGTAGGGGAGAGGCAGAGAGAGGGGGACAGAGGATCCGAAGCAGGCTCTGTGCTGACAGCAGAGAGCCCAATGCAGGGCTCGAACTCCAAAACCATGAGATCGGGACCGGAGCTGAGTCAGACACTTAACCAACTGAGTCACCCAGGTGCCTGAATAATAAGTAAATAAAGAAGTAAATAAATAAATAAATAAATTCTTTCTTTCTTCCTTTCAATGTCTGTCTATTTTTGAGAGAGAAATAGAGTGTGAGGGAGGGAGGGGCAGAGAGAGAGGGAGACACAGAAGCCGAAGCAGGCTCCAGGCTCTGAGCTGTCAGCACAGAGCCCGATGCGGGGCTCGAACTCATGAACCGCGAAATCACAACCTGAGCCAAAGTCAGACACTTAACAGACTGAGCCACCCAGGTGCCCCATAAGTACATTTTTTTTAAAAAAACCAGTAACTGTTGGTATTATCTTTTGTATCAGACACACATCCACAGGTTAACCTGTAACTTCACCAAGTCCGAGCCCTTAACAGAAAGCAAACAGCAAGGCAAACAGAGGCCTCCTAGAGAGTTAAGTCTTTAGGTGCACTTGTTAGACAAGGCAGTCCTTCTCTGGGCCTTATTTCGAGGTTTTGGATGACATTTCCTGGCACAGGAGAGATGTGGGTGCTCGGCCAGGCCCCGACACATGCTAAAGCCAGGAATACTTCCCAACCTTTCTGGCCTCAGCCTCCTTAGCCCCGAGAGGCTCGGACCCACATCTTCCAGCTCTGACAGTCTCCACCCTCCAAGACTGATCTTACCACCAAATGTATACCCAAGGTCCCCATTTCATTTCATCCCTACCCTGCTCTGGTCCAGCCGTCCTAGGGACCTCAGGAAGGTAATGACATTGGGTTCAGAGGGACTCAGAACAGCCACAGTCCCCAGGTCTGCTCTCAGGTACTATGTGATTCCAGGAAAACTCGGCCCCTCTCCAGGCCTCTGCTTCGGGTTGGCCAAAGGGGAAGGTGGAGGGGGTCTGTGGCTGCCCCCGCCTGCTCTTCCACAGGGGCCCCCCAGATTTGAGAATCTGGGGACCCTCCTTGCCCTTGGTGCTACTGAATGCCATTCAATTCAAAAGGAATGAGCCACTGGGGAAGAGACCTGATAAGCTCCTAGTGGTCAGGAGCTCAGAAACAAGGTCTGGTCTCTTAAGATAGTGGGAAAATCTGAGACGTTTTGTGGATTCAGCAGGAAATAGTTTAGCAGTTGACTGGCAACGTCTGCCATAAATGCAAAAATGAAAATAGGTTGTATCTTGCGTATTTACCCAACCTGGTCAGGTAAATACAGGCTCGTTGTCTCTCTCTCCAGTAGAGAGTCAGGAAAGCGCAGATTCTGGTCCCAATTTTGCCACTGCCTTGCCGAGTAAACTGAGGAAACCAGCCCCTCTGAGCCTCAGTTTCCGTAGCTATATAAAATGAGAGTTAGTATCTTCCCAGGGTTGATGTGACAATAAATACTGTCAGTGAATATCTTCATGTTGCAAGAAATGGAAAATACCAATGAATCTTGTTTGGAACAACGAACATTGGTTTCCCTAAACTGCCTAGAGATGAGACTTCAGGTATGGTATGATCAGGGTTCTGACTCAATTTCTCTGTGACTCTGTTAGTATTGTTTTTTTTCCCCACAGGTCAGCTCTGTCTTCAAGGACCCGAAGCCTGCTACAGGCCCACACTGACTTGGGGTAGATTGCAATGTTCTGGGCCAGCCCGCTAAGCAACGGCCCTAAAGTTGCTCCTGATTGGGCAATTTCAGTCACGTACCCAATCCCTGGAGCACTGCTTGTTGCCTGGATCGGAAGGAGCCAGGAAGAGAAAGAGGGTCTTTCCCCAGGATCCGGAGTTAGAGGAAGAGTGAAGAGTGGAAAGGAAACCAGTAAAAAGGAGGGAAGGTAGGGATGCTGGGAAGGAGCCACTGGGGCACGGTGGATGAGGAAAGGAGCGGCTGACAAACTTCTCCAGGCAGCCCGACGCCATTGCCTCGGGATCAGACAGCCCGGGAGGCTGGAAAGGGCACAGCAGCTGAGGTGTGCAGGGGGGAAGGGGCCCTGGGTGAGGGTGTGGCGCAGTGGGGGGGGGGGTACTTTGGGGAAGGTGCCTCCAGCCGGAGATCTCAGAAACCACGCCCTGCAGGAAGCCAGTCGGGGTCCCCTCCGGGAGCCTCCCGGTCCCCCAAGCCTCCTGCTGCGCCCTCCGCGGTCTCCGCCAGCAGGAAGCAGGGGGCGGGGGGGGGGGAGGCGGCGGCTCTCCTCAGGGGGTCGGGGAGCGCACTGGTCCCGGGACGCGGCGGCTGACGGAAGTACCGCGGGACAGCGGTTGCAGAGGGCAGAGGGACCCGGGAGACGCCCCCTTCCCAGCCGAGCCCACAGTTGGGGGCTCCCTCTTCGCGGGCGGGGCCCTTACTCACTCCGACCCCCACTGCCGGATCCAGGGCCCCTCTCTCCGCCGCGGCTCGGCGCTCCGGCTCCCTCTCCCCGCCCGCAGCCCCGCCATTGGCTTCCCAGGGCTGCGGCCGCCTCGGATTGGTCCAGCTCCGCGAGGCCCCGCCCCCTCGTCGGCACAAAGGGGAGGCCCACCCCGCCTCCCGGCGCTCAGATCCTGCGGAATCTGGGGGCCCGCGTGCCCTGGTTGCGACCCCCGCCCGGACCCCGCGGCGCGGCTGAATCGTGGCCCCCCCAGCGTGGGGGTTGTGAGCCCCAAAGGGACGGACTTAGGCCTGGGGTCCCCGCCGGAGTCTGCACACCTACACCCCGCCCCCGGGGCTCTATGACCTTGTCGGAACTGACCCCCAAGTCCCCCTTACTTCATTTTCTCCTCCCTGCCTGTAGTGCTGTGGGTGTGGGTGGGTGGACTCATCGGATTATTAGTGCCTTGATTATAAGCTCTTACAGGTGAGAAAACTGAGGCTCAGTGAGGGTAGGTAATCTGCCCCCAAGTCACACAGCAGTCAAGGGTACCCAATTACCAATAATGAAGAGTGGGGGGAAAAAGAAGGGTGGTGTAATCCCCGTGCACCGCCCCGCTCCAGTTTCCCTCCAAACACACTTGAGACCCTCAGCTAAGCGGGCTGGAGGAGGGAATTTCAATAAAATTTGGCAGGGGCGTTTAGAGAGCCAATGTAGGCTTTGTTCCCACCTCCCCCTCTTAGGCAAGTTTGGCCTCCCTGAACTTTCCTTTCCTTATCTGTGAAATGGGATGACAACCGCTGTGAAGATTAGACGGGACCTGCCTGGTGTCAGGCACACAGTAGAGGCTAAACACGCGGTGCCTTTGGAGACGCTGTGAAGGGGTCACAGTCCACAGGACATCCTTAGAGCAGGGTGGACCTGCTCAGCGGGGGTCTGGAGGGGGGCATTCGCACTAGGTTTCCCATGGAGACTGACGGGCCTGTGGGTCTTGGATTGTGGGACGGCCCCAAGCCAGAAGAGCAGGGCAGGGTGAGTGTCCAGGCTGCCCCAGCGGGGTGGGAGTGGGGGTGCCATTCAGGGTTTGCCAGACAGGGGCCGTGTGAAGGGGACGATGGGAACAGAGCCTCTCCGTGCCCAGCGAAGATGGGGCTAGGGGGTGTAGGCGGGCTCGAGGGCTCCGGGATTTCCAGAACCACCCGGAAACGTTCAAAGTGGTTGGCACTTGTGAAGCTCTGGGAGAGGGTGACCAGGTTCAGGGGACACTGGCCAGGACTCCTGGGTTCAAGCTTGACACCTGTGGCATATGGCAGGTGTGAGTCCTGAGTGGTCAGGGCTTCCCTTGTGGGAACCGGTCAGTGGCCCTGTGCTCCTGGCCACCTGCAGGGTCCGTGTTTGGTTTCATCCCCAGCCTCTTACAGCATGGACCAGCATCCTTTGTAAGGAGCAGCTGACCCCTTCACCTCTCCAGCACCTGCAGCTGGATCACCTCCGCATCACCTGCTCTCCCCCCATGGTTTCCCAAAGACCCTCTGCAACCCAAAATGTCTTTTTTGTTTGTTTATTTAGAGCGAGAACCAGTGGGGGAGAGGCCGAGGGAGGGGAGACAGAAGATCTGCACCGGTCCGTGTTGACAGCACAGAGCCTGACGTGGGGCTCGAACCCACGAACCTCCAGATCATGACCTGAGCCGAAGTCGGAAGCTTAACCAGCTGAGCCACCCAGGCACCCCGCCCCAAAATGTCTTTTTAATCTCTTTTTAAATTTTGAAATAAGCACACACTCAAAGTTGCAAGTACCATACAAAGTAAGGTTTTTTCCTGGAAAAAATTGGAGAGTCATTTCCCAACCTGATGCCCTTTCTCCCCTTATATTCCCTTCAAACAAGTTTGTTCTTCTTTTTTTTTTTTTTTTTTTTTTTTTCTTAGAAAGAGTGAGCAGGAGCCGGGGAGAGGGGCAGAGGGAAAGAGAATCTTAATCAGGCTCCACACTCAGCACAGAGCCTGACGAGGGACTCGATCTCATGACCCTGGGATCATCACCTGAGCTGAAATCAATGGTCAGATGCTCAACCGATTGAGCCACCAGGCGCCCCAAGTTTGTTCTGTATACATAGCCACGTTAAGGTTGCCAAAATAGGAATACGTTACTACGCAACGAAACACGACCTCCAGCTGATGTTCAGACCCCATGAGTTTCACTAGTTGTCCCCAAAATGTCCTTTATAGCAAAAAATCCAAGCCGGGTGTTGTGGTTAGCTGGATCTCGTCTTCGGCCCATCTTTGGCTTTCCTGACCTTGACATTTTAAAAGGTTACAGAGCAGTTACAGGCCAGGAGTGGTTTGGACTTATCTGACCTCATGATTTCTTTCCGATTTTGCTTTGTGGCAGTAATATCACAGAGCTGATGCTGTGTTCTCGGTTCGCCCCGTTCCTGGTACTGCTTCCTGTAATGATATGGTGAAGGGCGTGTCTGCCTAGGTTTTCTCCATGGAAAGCGTCTCTCTTTTTTTTCTTGGTCAATCATCAATCTTTTGCAGATGTGCTATTTTGTAAAATACTCCGTTCCTTATCAGGGTTGACTTCCAATTACTTCCTGTATTTATATCTCTACAGAATCACATTTTTGTATCTATTTTACTCAATGGGTTGTAATCTGATACTATAATAATTTTTTTTTTTTCTTTTTGGATGCTAAAATTGTCTCCCACTTGGCCTGTGGGAATCCCTCCTATATGGTTCTTGTGTCCTTTGGACATCATGTCATACTTTTTTTTTTTTTAAACAGCTTTATTGAGGTCTGATTGACATACACTCAATTGCACATTTTTAAAAAAAATTTTTTTAATGTTTATTTATTTTTGAGACAGAGAGAGACAGAGCATGAATGGGGGAGGGTCAGAGAGAGAAGGAGACACAGATTCTGAAGCAGGCTCCAGGCTCTGAGCTGTCAGCACAGAGCCCGACGTGGGGCTCGAACCCACAGACCACGAGATCATGACCTGAGCCCAAGTCGGATGCTTAACTGACTGAGCCACCCAGGCGCCCCTCAATTGCACATTTTTGAAGTGTAGGAGAGAGAGAGACTGGGAAGGGACAGAGAATGAGAGGGAGAGGGAGAATCCCAAGCAGGCTCTGCGCTGTCAGCCCACAGTCTGACGTGGGGTTCGAACTCACGAACTGTGAGATCATGATCTGAGCTGAAATCAAGAGTCAGACGCTTAACGGACTGAGCCACCAGGTGCCCCTGCTACATCCTTTTTTTTTTTTTTCAACGTTTATTTATTTTTGGGACAGAGAGAGACAGAGCATGAACGGGGGAGGGGCAGAGAGAGAGGGAGACACAGAATCAGAAACAGGCTCCAGGCTCTGAGCCATCAGCCCAGAGCCCGACGCGGGGCTCGAACTCACGGACCGCGAGATCGTGACCTGGCTGAAGTCGGACGCTTAACCGACTGCGCCACCCAGGCGCCCCTTTTTTTTTTTTTTTTTTTAATGATTGAGAGAAATTCACAATGCATAAAATTAACCGAAGTGAACAAGTCATTGGTATTTAGTGTATTCACAGTGTTGTGCCACAACCATTTCTAACTAGGTCCAGAACATTTTTATCACCCCCAAAGGGAACCCCCATACCTGTTAGGCAGTCACTGCCCATTCCCACTAACCCTCTGTCCCTGGTAACCACCCATCAGCTTTCTGTCTCTCTGGTTTGACTTATTCTGGATATTTCACACAGATGGAATCCTACAATACATGGCCTTTTGTGCCCGCTTCTTTCTTTCTTTTTTTTTTTTTAACGTTTTTATTTATTTTTGAGACAGAGAGAGACAGAGCATGAACGGGGAGGGGCAGAGAGAGAGGGAGACACAGAATCAGAAGCAGGCTCCAGGCTCTGAGCCATCAGCCCAGAGCCCGACGCGGGGCTCGAACTCACGGACCGCGAGATCGTGACCTGAGCTGAAGTCGGACGCTTAACCGACTGAGCCACCCAGGCGCCCCTGTGCCCGCTTCTTTCAATGAACACCCTGTTGCCAAGGTCCATCCGGATTGTAGCGCCGATCAGTTTTTCATGCCTCTTTACGGCTGAATACTATTCCATTGAATGCATGCAACGCATTTTGTTTATCCTTTTATCCTGTGACAATACACTTGGATTGTCTCCATCTCCTGGCTATTGTGAATATCAGCGCTGCTATGACCCTCTGTTTACGAGTCGTGTTTGAACACCTGCTTTCAATTCTTCCGGTCATATACCGAGGAGCCACGTTGCGGGGTCACATGGGCATTCTATATTTAACTTGTGTACCCGCCAAACTTTCCGGCGGGCTCTGCACCATTTTATATTCTCAGCGGCAGCATAGGGGGGTTGCAGTTTCCCCGTGTCTTCAGCAACACTTATTTTCCTCTTAATTTTTTTTTATTATGGTCACTCTAGTGGGTACGAGGTGGTGTCTCCCTGTGGTTTTGACCTGCATTTCCCGGGTGGCTAATGCCATGGAGCATCTCTCTACGTGCTTGCTCTCCATGTGCTTGCTGATCCTTGGAGAATCCTGGATCCCTCTGACAGGTCCTCCCTGTTCTCTGCACCAGCCCTGATCAGACCACACCAGGGGCCCCGTCCGTCCTTTTTGTGGAGCCTAGGGATGAAGGCACGAGGTGTGGCTGCTCCCAGGCCCTCTTGAGGGGACAAGCTAGGAAATGTGTGCATGTTCACACGCAGGGCACATTCACACACGTGTATGATTCCCGTATCTATTGATTTGTATTGAAACTCCTGAGTTTACACTGATGCATCTCGGGGTTCACTCTAGTTTCCTCCCTTTCTGTATTTGTAGCTGCCTTCTCTACCAGTGAGAGTCTGGCTGCCGTGATCCTAATGTTCCCAATCCTGCTGTACCCGAGTGTGCCCCCAAACGCACCCCACCTCTCATGGCCACTGTCGCCCCATCGCCCTGCAGACACCCTCCTCTCCTGCTCGGTCACGCTGTTTCCACTGCCTCCTTACCCCGCATGGGCTTGGACACCCTTCGCCTCTCCTGCCTGGAGATGCTTCCCCCTCCACTGAGCTCTTTCCCCCCCCCCCACTCTGATCCCCGGAGACG